AGGAGGCAGAGGTTACAGTGAGCCAAGATCAGACCACTGCACTCCAGCCAGGGTAACAGATGAGACTGTCTCAAAAAACAAAAAAACAAATGAAAAGGTTTTGTTGTTGTGTAAGAATGTATCAATAAATACCAAAGACAATCTACAGATTCAATGCAATCTCTATCAAAATACCAATGACATTGTTCACAGAAATAGAAAAAAAAAAATACTAAAATTTGAATTGAACCACCAAAGAAAGACTCCTAAGAGCCAAAGCTTAACTGAATAACAACAACAAAAAAAACAAAATGGAGGCATTATACTACTTGACTTCAAAATATATTACAAAATGACAGTAACCAGAACAACACAGTATTGATATAAAAACAGACACACAGATCCATGGGACAGAATAGAGAGCACAGAAATAAATTCATGTAGTTACAGCTAACTCTTTTTCAACAAAGGTGCTAATAAGAACATACATTGGGGAAAGGATACCCTTTTTGATAAATATGCTGGGAACACTGGATATCCACATCCAGAAGAATGAAATTAGACACCCATCTCTCATCATATAAAAAAAAAAATCAACTCAAAATGGATTAAAGACTTAAATTTAAGATCTAAAACTATAAAACTACTAGAACGTAAGGGAAAAGCTCCATAACATTAATCTAAGCAAAGATTTTATGAGTAATGCTACAAAATCACAGCCAACAAAAATAAAGAAATAGAATTCTATCAACTAAAAAGCTACTATACAGCAAAGGAAATAATCAACAGAATGAGGAGACAACCTGTAGAATGGGAGAAAATATTTGCAAACTATTCGTCCAACAAAGGTCTAATAGTAAGAATGTACAAGGTACTCAAACAACTCAACAGCCAAAGAACCCCAAATAATAGAATTTAAAAGTGGACAAAGGATCTGAAAAGACATTTCTCAAAAGAAGATATATAGATGGCAAACAGGTATATGAAAAAATGCTTAACATCACTAATCATCAGGGAAATACAAATCAAAACCACAATGAGATCATTTCACTCCAGTTAGAATGGCTATTTATCAAATGCGAAAAAAGAAAAATTCTGGTGGGAATGAGGAGAAAATGTAATACTGGTACACTGGTATGGGAATGCAAATGAGTACAGCCATTACAGAAAACAGTATGAAGCTTACTCAAAAAACTAAAAATAGAACTACCATATGATCCAGTAACGGGTATATATACAAAAGAAATGAAATCAGATTAAAAAGATATTTATACTCCTACATTTCTTGCAGCATTATTCATAACAGTCAAGATATGGAACCAAATTAAGTGTTCGTCAATAAGTGAATGGATTTCTAAAATGTGATATATATACACAATGTAATACTATTCCACCACAAGAAGAGAGAAATCAGCCAGGCCTGGCAGCTCACACTTTGGGAGGCCAAGCCAGGAGGATTACTTGAAGCCAGGAGTTTCAAGACCAGCTTGGACAACAAATCAAGACTCTTGTCTCCATAAGAAAATTTAAAAATTAGCCAGATGCAGTGGCATACACCTGCAGTCTCAGCTACTTGGGAGGCTAAGGCAGGAGGATAGCCTGAGCCCAGGAGTTTGAGGCTGCAGTTAGGTATGATCATGCCACTAAACACCAGCCTAAGTAACAGAGCAAGACCCTATCTCTTAAAAAAAGAAGACAGGGAGGGCCAGGGTAGAAGGATCATTTGAGGCCAAGGGTTCAAGAACAGCATGGGCAACACAGCAAAACCTAAGGTAAGCCAAGATTTGAATAACAATTAGAGTCACTTAAGTAAATGACAAAATAAATTGAAAAGGAAATATATACATTTTTCTGGCATGAAGCAAGAATCTCAGAAAGGGAGCATCAAAAGTACTGGCAAAGACTGATAAAGAATATCAACATCCAGACATATTCTGGTTAAGTCAGTCATTTCAAGTATAATGAAATAATTCTTGAAGCAGTAAGTTAGAAAACAAAAAGTCATTTAACAAAAAGAAAATAAAAACTGCTGGTACCAGAAGTTTTAGTCTTCCCGTAAGCAGAGACTCAGCTGTTTTCTCTTTGTTTTTGAAAAGTGCCTTGCTCTGTCACCCAGTCTGGAGTGCAGTGGTGTGATCACAGCTCACTGCAACCTCAAATTCCTGGGCTCAAATGATCCTTCTACCTCAGTCTCTGAAAGAGGTGGGACTACAGGCATATGCTACCGCACTTGGATATTTTTCAATTTTTTTGTAGAAACGGGGTCACTCTCTGCTGCCCAGACTGGAATGCAGTGGCACAGTCATAGCTCACAGCAGCCTCAAACTCCCAGCTCCAGCAATCCTACTGCCTCAGCCTCTAGAGTAGCTGGGACTCCAAGTGTGTGCCACAATGCCCAGCTAATTTTATTTGTTGGCCAGTGTGGTCTCAAACTCCTGGCCTCAAGCGATCCTCTCACCTCAGCATCCCAGCTAGCCAAGTCATTTGGATTACAGACATGAGCCACAGCACCAGTTCTGCTTTTGTTTTCTAAAGAGACAAGCTGCCCAGGCTGGAGTACAGTGGCTGTTTACAGGCACAATCATCATACACTACAGCCCTGAACTCCTCAAGCGATCCTTAAGCATCAGCCTCCCCAGTAGCTGGGACTATAAGCCCACACCATTGTTCCTGGCTCAGTTGTTGTTGTTGCTGTTGTTTTAATCTTTTAAAATTCTTGGCCGGGCGTGGTGGCTCACGCCTATAATCCCAGCACTTTGGGAGGCCGAGGCAGATGGATCATGAGGTCAAGAGATCGAGACCGTCCTGGTCAACGAGGTGAAACCCGTCTCTACTAAAAATACAAAAATTAGCTGGGCATGGTGGTGCACGCCTGGAGTCCCAGCTATTCGGGAGGCTAAGGCAGGAGAATTGCTTGAACCCAGAAGGCGGAGGTTGCAGTGAGCCGAGATCGTGCCATTGCACTCCAGTCTGAGTAACAACAGCGAAACTCCATCTCCAAAAAAAAAAAAATTCTTTCTTTAAATTCTGTTTTTTAACGTTGTTTCTTCTTTTGACCACAGAACATGCATCATTTTTTTTATTAAAGGAAAACTGTTGAAACAAATCATGTACCCTCCCAAAAGACCTGTTCATTTATACACTTGTAAATAATCTGTTTATTGCTGTGAAAACTAAAAAGATATAGAAAACTAAGCAACAAATCTGCTTCCTTTATCAAAATGAAATAAACTCATTTAACAACAAAATATGACTCCTATGAACAAAATGGCAACATTCTAATGTTTTGTTTTCCTGGCATTTCTTAATACAAATAAATAAAAAAACCATCTAAAATGCAAATCTTTATTTGTAAAGAACTATAAAATATGCTCAGATAATAATCATAAAGCATAGCTCATAAAAGAGATGATAATTCATAAATTTGATTTGTTAAAAATCACTTCTGTGTAATTAGTTTTTCCACTACAGTATTCAATAAATACCATTAAGACAAGAGGAAAAAATGTCTATACAGTTCTAAGAGATTGTTATCTACAGTCATTTCTATATTTGAGTATACAAAGGCAACAAACACATTTTCAAACATGAAAGAACCCATGGAACACAGAATCCAAAGCCATCCTCACATAAAAACAAAAAAATTTAATAATGAAATAAATAAAAAAGTAGTAGTGAGCATTAACTCTAACTAGAAATAGAATTAAGGCTAAATAATTGGGGGAGAAGTCAGGGAGGATGTAAATTTGAAAGGAAAAATAGTATAAGCAAGAAAATTCAGGAGGTAGAGGAGAAAAGGGGGAAGAAGTTTAAGAGAGACAATTACCTTACTTTTCAGAGTAGAAGTCAATCCATGCCATTTAAATCTGAAACAATGACTTCAATCTCTCAATAATGTATTTAATCTCTTTTCTTTTTGGAATTTTTTTTTTTTGAGACAAGGGCTCGGTCTGTTGCCCAGGCTGGAATGCAGGGGCATGATCATGGCTCACTACAGACAGCCTCAACCTCCCAGGCTCAAATGATAGTCCCACCTGAGCCTCCTGAATAGCTGGGACTACAGGCACACACCACCATGCTCAATTAATTTTTGTATATTTTTAAGAGATTGGGTCTCACTATGTTGTCCAGGCTGGCCTCAAGCAATCCACAAGCCTCACAAATTGCGGGGACTACCAGCATAATCTCTTTCCTTAAAAAATTAGTTCCTTGGCTGGGCGCAGTGGCTCATGCCTGTAATTCCAGCACTTTGGGAGGCCAAGTCAGGCAGATCACCTGAGGCTGGGAAGAGACCAGCCTGACCAACATGAAGAAATCTAATCTCTAAAAATACAAAAAATTAGTCAGGCATGGTAGCACATGCCTGTAATCCCAGCTACTCAGGAGGCTGAGGCAGGAGAATCACTTGAACCTGGAAGGCAGAGGTTGTGGTGAGCCGAGATCCACGACACTGCACTCCAGCCTGGGCAAACAAGAGTAAAACTCTGTCTAAAAAAAAAATTCTTGAAGATAAAGGAGAAGAAAAGAAAAAAAAATTCTTTCCTTAAAAAAATCCATTCATTTTTCTAGCTATCAATCTAGTCTTCTGCTAAATATACACACGGAGAATTACCTCGACTGTTAATCAAATGTTAAAACTGCCTATTTCTGAGAGGGTTAGATTTTGGGTAATTAGTTGCTTTATTCTTTCATTTTCTGTATGAAATTTTAAATAAGCATATATTTTATTCATAAACATAATACGGCCATCTTTTTATAAGTCAGAAAAACAGCTATTTGGCCACTGTAATCTTTCCTGAGTCTCCCCCAAAGGAAAGTCAGCAGTCCCGGAAAGAATATCTTTTAGCCTAGCAAATATAACTTAGTACAGAAGTGCAGTCATATGAAACAGCCCCCAAAACAACAGAGGCTCTCTAGTTTTGAGCTTTTGTTCTTTGTGCTCTCTAGTACCTAACTGAATAGACTTGTCTTATCATCACTCGGTGTATGGTATCTGCAACACAAGCCCCAAAGTCTCATACCTTCACGACAGGATGTCCCCCAGTGGATGCTTTTACTGCCCCTCGACTACCTTCTGTTTCATAATGGGCTCGATGATGAGTTTTAGGCTGTACTTCTATTTTCAGTTCACATTGTCCAAAATGAGCTGGTAAAGGCCAGTCTAGTGGAGGTAATGAAGATGTGCTACAAACAAAACACACAAAGATGCATGTCACCATGCTATTATTGCCAAGCAATGATTCAAATGGCTTCTTTACCAGCATCAACATTTCTTTCTGTGATCTTTGAAACAATGTACTACAAAATAAAACTTCATTTAGTAAGTTATAATTCTGGTTATGGTGAATTCTTAATAAATAACGATTTCATCTTTAGGATAAAATCTATTTTATTTCCCAAAGGTGGTATGTGCTTAAAGATAAGTAAACTTTAGAAAATAAAAATAAACGCCAGGCACGGTGGCTCACATTTGTAATCCCAGCACTTTGGGAGGCCAAGACGGACAAATTACCTGAGGTCAGGAGTTTGAGACCAACCTGGCCAGCATGGTGAAACCCGTCTCTACTATAAATACAAAAATTAGCTGGTGTGGTGGCACACGCCTGTAAATCTCAGCTACTTGGGAGGCTGAGGCAGGAGAACTGTTTGAGCCTGCAAGATGAAAGTTGCAATGAGCCAAGATTGTGCCACTGCACTCCAGCCTGGCCAACAGAGCAAGACCCTGTCTAAAAAAAAAGGAAAAAAAATATTTTAAATTTATCTTATCTTCATTCTGATTTCCCTTTTTTAAAAAAAAAGACAAATTCTAATAATTTGTAAAACTATAAATGTTTCTCAACTATGTGTATGTAATTAACAAAAATAATCAAAAAATAATTCAATTTTTTTTTAAACTAAGAGGCACATTTCTGTTTATCTGTATCAGTATCTCTCCACATATCCAAATCTCTCTCTCTCTCTCTCTCTCTGTCAGGATGTCTCTCTCCCTCCCTGGTACACATCTGTGGATGTCAACCTATTGAACTTATCACTTCACACACTTCCTCCCTACCTCCTTCCCCTACTTCCTCCCTATTGCGCCTTTCCCTGTCTCTCTGAAAAATTGCTTCTGTTCAGCAATATACTGCAAAATTTGAAGCAAAAATTTAATTTCAGTATATGTTTGGTTGGAAAAATAGCCTGTCACTCCAGCATCTCTAAATGTTACTTTTCTTAACTTTATCAATAAAACAATTTAAACTGCTTAAAGGCCCAAAAGTTCATTTTGATATATTAACATTAAAAATATGGATTATAAAAGAAAAACTTTATATGTCTACAGGCCAAATAAAATTTCTAAATTATTTCATTGTTTCCTTCCATGTCTTCAGCCTAGCTTTAAGTCCAACTCTTGTGAAATTCAAAGATATTAATTTTTATTAGTTTGCAAAATCCAACTTCAACTCTCAGTTACTTCTGTATTTGTTTTACAGGCTTAAGCAAAACACTAGAAAAATTAACATAAATTTCAGAAGCAAAGCGATGGGTTCAAAGGTGTCTTCATTACCATAATTCTATTTTCTAAAGATCAGGATTGAGAAATAAAGATTCACACTAATGAAAAAGCATTGGCCAGGTGTGGTGGCTCACTCCTGTAATCCCAGCACTTTGGGAAGCCAAGGTGGGCAGATCACCTGAGGTCAGGATCTTATACAAAAATTAGCTGGGCATGGTGGTGGGCACCTCTAATCCCTGCTACTCTGGAGACTGAGGCAGGACAACCTCTTGAACCGGGAAGGTGGAGCTTGCAGTGAGCTGAGATTGTGCCATTACACTCCAGCCTGGGCAACAGAGTGAAACTCTGTCCAGAAAAGGGGAGAGGGGAGGGGGGAAGAGGGGAGAGGTGAAGGAGGGGCGGGGCAGGGGTGGGGTGGGGTGGGGGAGGGAGAGGGGAGGGAAGGGGTAGGGGAGGGGAGAGGAGAAAGAAAGAGAAAGAGAGGGAGAGAGGGAGGAAGGGAGGAAGGGAAGAAGGGAGGGAGGGAGGAAGGAAGGAAGGAGGGAAGGGAGGGAGGGAGGGACAAATGGACCGAAGGCCGGACAGACCCCTGGCTAGGCACAGTGGCTCCTGCCTGTAATCCTGGCACTTTGCAAGCTCAGAAGGAGGATCGTTTGAGGCCCAGAGTTTAAGATCAGCCTGAGCAATAAAGCAAGACCCTATCTCTACCAAAAAAAAAAAAAATTTTTTTTTTTTTTTAAATAATTGAGTGTGGTGGTGCACGTCTATAGTCCCAGATACTCAGGAGCCTGAGGTATAAAGATTGCTTGAGTCTGGGAGGTTGAGCCTACAGTGAGCTATGATTGTACCACTGTACTCCAGCCTGGGCAACAGAGCAAGACACTGTCTTAAAAAACAAAACAAAAATCCTAACAGGCACAATTCTATGTGGGAATTCAATACATAAAATTTGTCTTTTCTAATCAATTATAGACTAGATTGATTCTGTAAATGTAATTAATAGGTTATTTTTTTCTTTCTTTTTTTTTTTTTTTGGTGGGGGGTGGTGCAGACAGGGTCTTGCTTTCACCCAGGCTGGTGTGCAGTGGCACGATCTTGGCTCACTGCAGCCTCCATCTCCTATCTCAAGTGATGCTCCTGCCGCAGCCTCCCTAGTACCTGGGACTATAGGTGTGTGCCACTACCCCTGGTTAATTTTTATATTTTTTGTAGAGACAGGGTTTTGCCATGTCACCCAGGCTGGTCTCAAACTCCTGGGTTCGAGTGATTCACCTGGCAGGGCCTCCCAAAGTGCTGGGATTACAGGCATGAGACACCACGCCTGGCTCCCAAATAGTTTTCTTAGTCATTAAATTCACATTATAATCCAACTTTTGCAATAAAGTTTTTTCTTTTTTGGTAGAGACAGGATGAAGTACAATGGCATGATCATGGTTCACTGCATCCTTGAAGTGCTGTGCTCAAGCAATCCTCCACCTCAGTCTCCCAAGCAGCTAGGACTACAGGCACACACCAATATGCCTGGTCAATTTTTTTTTTGTAGGGACAGTCTTGCTATGTTGCCCAGGGTGGATTCAAACTCCTGGGCTCAAGCAATCCTCCTGCCTCAGCCTCCCAAGTGCTGGGACTACGAAGGATAAGCCTCCAAACCCAGCCAGGATTTTTAAATGTAATTTATTATCACCAACAATTCATTAGCTATACACTTTTAAAATTGTATTTAACCTATCTAAAAATACTTTTAAGATGCAAATAAAAATTAACATTAAGTTATCTGGTAGAAATTTTGAATAGGAAGAGGAGAAATGGTCAAACCATTACATATTTATAATGTCATATATACTGATATGCCACCAATGACCCATAAACATGAAAAATGACCAATAGTCATTTCTATCAACTCACCGAAATATAGGGGTGTGGCCAGGCTTTGGTTTGTTCCAGGTAAAGGGTGAAGGAACTGAAAGAAACTGATCACCAGATGAATCTTTCTTTAAAGGATACTGAGATCCAAGGCCATCATCTACTGAAGTCTCCCGGGATGGTGATAAACTCCCTTGGTCATCTGAACAGAGCTCTAATTTTCCTGGTAGTATGGCAGCTTGATCTTCAGAAGTCTTCCTTGTTTTCAGAGGGATGTCAGTCTCTACACAGTACTGAAATGGAAAAACTGCAGGGCCAAGGCCTGACCCACCATGGACAGAAGCATTGAGCCAGGTATCTTCCGTCACACTTCCCCTGGGGGAGTGACCAGGAGAAGGAACAGGTGAGTGATGGGGTGAAAGGGACCCACCATAACAAACTTCAGCACTGGAGTGCCTCCGTTTCCCACAGGGGGAAGTGGGCCTCGATGAGGGTCCTGAGGCTGGCCTGGGGCTCAGCCAATTCTCATCAGTGATACTGGATCTAGGAGAGTGGCAAGGAGATTGCCTAGGTGATAATGAGTGTCCAAGTCCATACTGTTGATGCCAAGTTTCTTCTCCAGGGCAGCCCCCTGGAGAGCCACCAGGAGAAGTCAGAGGGGATCCAAGGGTGAACCGGGCTGCAGCTTCATTCAATTCTGAGTCAACATCATCATAAATATGTGAAAGTGATTCACAAGAAGATGCATCAGAGAACCAGCTCCTAGAAGAGATGCTGCTGGCAGGACTAGGACTAAGAGAAGACTCCCGGTAGGATGGCTCAAGAGGAAGATAGAGATGATCTCTAGAAGGCCTTTCCAAAAATTCCCTTTCTGGGTCATTTATCTGTAGGTCATCTTCATGTGTATCTATTTCTTGATGACAGTTAGGGGAGATAGATGTAATTTGAATACTTGGGCACTCAAAGGGTTTTGGGCCACTTAATGGGATATATTTAGATTCAGGAATCTCGCAAGTTCCTTCATAGTTTTTGTGACTTTGGAGCTGAAACGATGGTGACAAAACAGAAGAGTGAGATGGTAATCCATGATGTGGTAAGCAAAGTGGTGTGTTTGGAGTAGATGGAGGTGGATCTACATTAAAGATGTAAATGGATGCACAATCATCTGGCTCAAGATCTATGAGGAAGAAGGCCAAAAAAAAAAAAAAAACCAACATAACAAGAAATTAGACAACTCAGATGTATAAATTACTAAATAAGAAAGTTAGCAACAATCTTGAGAGAAAAGTGGGATATAAAATGTACGTCATTAACTCCACAAAATAGGTGGCATGTGCGGTTTTTTTCCGATGCATCTGATTATTTCTGCAGATATGTATAATTATTACATATACCACTGTATATGTAATTTTCCCTTTTTAGTTCCACATTTTCTAAAAAGATAATCAGGAAACATTATACTCTAAAAAACTTTTCTTTCTAAGATAGGGTCTCACTCTGTCACCTATCTGTGAAATGATGTGATCACAGCTCACTGCAGCCTCAACCTCCCAGACTCAAGTGATCCTCTCTTTGGCCTCCAGAGTAGCTGGAACACAGGTGCATGCCACACTCCTGGTTACTTTTCATTGTCATTTTTGGTAGAGACAGGGCCTTGCTTTGTTGCCCAGGCTGGGCTCAAGTTATCCTCCCACTTTAGCCTCCCAAAGTGCTGGGATTATAGGTGTGAGAGCCTCCGTGCCTAACCCAATAAATGTGTTTATTAAAAACAAAAACAAAAATAACATCCATAATTCTAAAGAATATTCATAGAATAACAAAATGATATAATCATATAAACTGAGTTTCATTTGGGATTTGCAGGTTAAAACGGAGTAAAGGAAAAATCAGTCCTTGAAAGGCTATTTTAGTTATATCTATACATACTAGGTTTACTAGCAAAAAGGATTCTAGAAACAGGAGACCTAGAATCTAGTATACCTCTGCCATTAATTATGAGCTCTTTATCACATCACTCACCCTCTCCAGGCCTCATTTTCCTTGCAGTAGAATTTGAGATTTCTCTTTTCTTTATGGAATTTTTTATGATTAACAGTGAAAACTCCTTTCTTGACATTCATACCATCAAGAACTATCTTAATTGATAGCAGACTAGGTTACAAAACCCACATGAAACCACTAGATGCTTTACATCACTAGAAAATAACACGAGGGCTTTTAATTTATGATTAATCATTAAAATAATCCTCATAAGGGCAGAACTTTTACAATTCTCCCTTTGCAGAAATATTTAACACTAAACAAACCTTGCTGGAATATTTAACACTAAACAAACCTTGCCAGATTATCTACTGAGAATGCTTGCAGCAGTAACAGTATTTTGCAACTTCAATTTTAGGAAGGAAAAAAAATAAGCAAACGAACAAACAAAAATTAGATTAAATTTTTTAAAAAAGAAAACAATTTTAGCAAGGAGTGATTATTCATTTCTAAAAAGGCACAAGTACAAAGCCTTCATACAAGGGGCTGTCTGAACACCTTCACTTTTTCTAAAAGAGACTGGAAGATCAAAGATAAAACCCTTCATAGATAAAACAGACAGAAGTACTCAAGAAGAGCATATTTGTTTTATTATATTAGTACCCCTGGAAAATAGAAGACCATATTTGTTTCATTACATTAGTACCCCTGGAAAATAACATACACCTCTTTATGCTCCTGATGTTGCTGTCATAGGCAGCAAACTTTAATTAAAGTATATCTCTAAGTCCTAGGTTTTGGAACTTTTTTTTTTTTTTGAGACAGAGTCTCACACTGTTGCCCAGGCCATAGTGCAGTGGTGTGATCTCGGCTCACCACAATCTCCACCTCCTGGGTTCAAGCAATTCTCTTGCCTCAGCCTCCCAAGTAGCTGGGACTACAGGCATATGCTACCATACCCAACTAATTTTTTTTTTTTTTTTTTTTTTGAGATGGAGTTTCATTCTTGTTACCCAGGCTGGAGTGTAATGGCGCAATCTCGGCTCACCGCAACCTCCGCCTCCTAGGTTCAGGCAATTCTCCTGCCTCAGCCTCCTGAGTAGCTGGGATAACAGGCACGTGCCACCATGTTCTTATCAGTTTAATTTTTTTGTATCTTTAGTAGAGACCGGGTTTCACCATGTTGGCCAGGTTGGTCTTGATCTCCTGACCTTGTGATCTGCCTGCCTTGGCCTCCCAAAGTGCTGGGATTACAGGTGTGAGCCATGGTGCCCAGATGATTTTGGAACTTTTAAGATACTCTACAGTAAGTAAACATTTTCACTAAAGAGTTTTTATACATGTATCAAAACAACAAAACAAAACCCCCTAGATTTAAACCTTGGCTCTACCATTTCATAGGTGTATGAATTTGGACAAGTTATTTAACCTGACTGAACTTCAGTTCCTGGTCATAAAACTGGCAGGAATTGAGTAAGGTATCATCCAAAACACATGAGACCATTTTAAGACAAGCAATTTAACACAATGACTAACATTTAGCAAAAATGCAAAACATGTAAATTCTCTTTTGTTCTTCCTTTTAAAATTTAAGATGGACATATTATCTTATACTTTAAACTCTGAAATATTTCCTAATAAATTGAAACATCTGTTTAAGTATACAACTTACGCTCTCACACCTCCACTTACTGAATCAGGAGAAGTAGGAAGTGAGAGCTCCAAAGAAGAAAATCTATATGTGACGGAGACAAAAAGCTGGAAAAAAAAAAAAACACTTAAGTCCAGCGCTCTGGATTCCAATACCACAGATGTGACAGCATCCTAGCTCAGAGCAAAGGCAGGATATCCCGGCAGAAGGGCCCTCTGAAGGGGGTTTTGTTACTCTGAAGAAAGTGATGCAAACAAACAGCTTTTATGTAACAACAACAACAAACCATTAAAGTCAACAAAACAACAAAAAAATAAATAAAGAATTTATGGGGGGAAGGAGAGTAACTGCTAGTGGGTATTGAGTTTCTCTGGGGGTTAATGATTGATTTTAGAACATATTCAATGTTCTAAAATTGACTAGTGATGGCTGCACAATCCTGTAAATATACTAACAAATCACTGAACTGTACATCTTAAATAAGTGAAGTATATGTTATATGAATATCTTAATAAAGCTGTCATAAAAACATATAGTAAATAGAAAAGCTAATGAGAGAGAAAACCTCATTGACAATAACAAGAAAGATTAAATAACGGTACTAAGAAACATATAAAACCAATAGCAGGAAAATGTTAAAACGCTACTGAGAGACACAAAAGTCAACTTGAACACAAAGATATTGGTTATTCTTTTTTCTAAACTGAAGTTCCTAAATTCCAAATATTTGTTGTTATTAAGACCTTAACATACTACCCAGAAAAAGCCCAGGTCCAGATGGGTTCACAGCCCAATTCTACCAGACATACAAAGAGGAGCTGGTACCATTCCTTCTGAAACTATTTCAAATAATCCAAAAAGAGGAAATCCTTCCCAAATTTTTAGGAGACCAACATCATCCTGATACCAAAACCCAGCAGAAACTCAGCAAGAAAAGAAAACTTCAGGCCAATGTCCATGATGAAAATAGATGCAAAAATCTTCAATAAAATACTGGCAAACCGATTGCAACAGCATATCAAAAAGCTTATCCACCAAAATCAAGTAGGATTCATCCTGGGGATGCAAAGCTGGTTCAACATACGCAAGTCTATAAACGTAATTCACCACATAAACAGCACCAAAAACAAAAACCACATGATTATCTCAATTGATGCAAAGAAGGCCTTTGACAAAATTCAACAGCCTTTATGCTAAAAACCCTCAATAAACTAGGTATTGACGGAATGTATCTCAAAATAATAAAACCTATTTACGACAAACCAACAGCCAATATCATAAAGAATGGGCAAAAACTGGAAGCATTCCCTTTGAAATCTGGCACTAGACAAGGATGCCCTCTCTCACCACTCCTATTCAATATAGTATTGGAAGTTCTAGCCAGAGCAATCAGGCAAGAAAAAGAAATAAAGGGCATTCAACTAGGAAAGGAGGAAGTCAAATTGTCTCTATTTGCAGACAACATGATTGTATATCTAGAAGACCCCATCGTCTCAGCCCAAAATCTCCTGAAACTGATAAGCAACTTCTACAAAGTCTCAGGATACAAAATCAATGTGCAAAATTCACAAGCATTCCTATACACCAATAACAGATTTAAAAAGAGCCAAATCAAGAACGAACTGCCATTCACAATTGCGACAAAGAGAATAAAAAACCTAGGAATACAACTAACAAGGAACATAAAGGACCTTTTCAAGAACTACAAACCACTGCTCAACAAAATAAGAGAGGACACAGATAGGGAGACATTTCCCTGCTCATGGTTAGGAAGAATCAATACCATGAAAATGGCCATACTGTCCAAAGTAATTTACAGATTCAATGCTATACCCATCAAGCTACCAATGACCTTCTTCACAGAACTGGAAAAAACCACCTTAAACTTCATATGGAACCAAAAGAGAGCCCGCATAGCCAACTCAATTCTAAGCAAAAAGAACAAAGTGGGAGGCATCACACTACTGGACTTCAAACTATACTACAAGGCTACAGTAATCAAAACAGCATGGTAATGGTACCAAAACAGAGATATAGACCAATGGAACAGAATAGAGGCCTTGGAGGCAACACAACATACCTACAACCATCCGATCTTTGACAAACCTGACAAAAACAAGCAATGGGGAAAGGATTCCCTGTTTAAAAATGGTGTTGGGGAAACTGGCTAGCCGTGTGCAGAAAGCAGAAACTGGACCCCTTCCTGACACCTTACACTAAAATTAACTCCAGATGGATTAAACATAAGACCTAACACCATAAAAACCCTAGAAGAAAATCTAGGCAAAACCATTCAGGACATAGGCATAGGCAAGGACTTCATGACCAAAACACCAAAAGCATTGGCAACAAAAGCCAAAATAGACAAAGGGGACCTAATCAAACTCCACAGCTTCTGAACGGCAAAAGAAATAGTCGTTAGAGTGAATCAGCAACCAACAGAATGGGAAAAAATTTTTGCAATCTACCCATCTGACAAAGGGTTGATATCCAGAATCTATAAAGAACTAAACAGATTTACAAGAAAAAAACAAACAAGCCCATTC